GTCTTCACTTTGCGCACAGTCATGGTCACCGTCTTGGCCATGACGCCAGCGCTAGTTACAATGCCAGTGAGCACGGTCGCCGGCATATTTTTCTTGCTGTGGGTGTGATAACTGGGCGAGCTGCGGCTTGGCTTGGGGCTTCTTTTTCGCGTCTTGGTCCGCTTGGGATATTATTATATTTGCTGACTGGACTCGCAGGGAAAAATGACCCACACGCACTGGCAAATTAGCTGTGTGTGTGCGACGGTGCAAATAATGCTTGCTGTCTGTTGCTTATGTATAATATATATATTGGAGCTAGCCTATTAGGTTCCCATCTGTGGCACAATACGGGGTGGCCTCGCGACCGGCGCTTGGCGGTCCGTAATGCCCTGGGAAATGTGCCGCGCAAGATTGTTTTGACTCTGTCCATAGTACAGTGGCACCATACCTTCAACGGGCGCTGCCCATGCGGCCCTTGCAGCAGCGCCCATGTCAGCGGTATATTGCGGAATCGACGCACGCGTCAGCGTGCCGGTATGTAACGAATGAGGGCCCGTGCCTGAAGACAGCGCGCGCTTTGCAGACTCGTCGTACTCGCTTGCGCTGTCGCTTGTGCGGCCGTTCGGCGCGCCGGCGACGGGCGCTGGACGCACCTGCGTCTGGTTGACCACAGAGAGGTACCAGAACATGAGATTAGAGATCATCACCTGCTCTGGCAGCGGACGCCGCGGGTTCGCGAGCTTAAAGTGGCTCAGACGGTAGAGTGCGCGCTCGACATGCAGGGGGTAGCGTGCATAGTCGAACTCGTCGCCACTAGTGCTGCTCTGCTGGACGCGGCGTTTGTCGCTGTCCTGCTGCTTCTTTTTGCCAAAGATCGTGGAAATAAGGTCGCGCTCGCGCCGCTTGGGCGGCTCGTCCTCCTGTGCACGGCGCTCGTTCTTCTTCTTTTCTTCTTCTCGCGCAGCACGCCGCTCGCGCTTCTTGTCGTCGTCGTCGCGAGAGAGGCCGAACCACGACAGACCAAACGACTTCTTTTCCTTCTCCTTTCGGGGGCGATTAGGAAGAGGAGGCACGTGCTCGACATGCGGCTGTGCCGGGACACGGTCGATAGACCGCTGTCGTCTGATGCGGCGCTTGGCGTCTTTCGGGGGGGGTATTGGAGGCGCTTCCGGAACGGGCGCCTGTGCAGCGCTAGGCCGCGCAGGCGCACTTGTTGCAGGTTTAGCAGGGTATTTGGGTTGCTGCGTCGGCATTTGCATCGGCTGCGGCGATGGTTGCGGCATCGGCTGCGGCATCGGCTGTGGCGCCGGCTGTGGCGCTGGCTGTGGCGCTTGTTGCGGGGGCGCAGGAGCTGCCCTGCGTGGTGGGACTGGTGGGGTGGCATTCAGTGCGCCAGTGCGCGCCGGCTGCCGCTGCAACTCGGCGATATTCTTCTCGCTGAGTGGCACGGTGCGCACAGCGACGACCTGTGGCGGTGGCATCGGCGGCGGCGGCGTTGGCGGCGGCGGCGGCACTGGCGCGATAGTGCCTGGCTGGCTCTGCGGCACGGCCTTGCGCTCTGGCGGCCAGTCGGCGCTGTCATGCGTGCCGATGCTCGATGGCTGAGTCGTCGGCGAGTACTGCAACACGCTGGGGATCGAGTACCCGCTCCCATCCCACAGCAGGCTGTCAGAGCATGTGTCGCGACTTGACTCGCTCGTACGCTCTAATGATGTGCGTGTGTACGAGTCTTCCGACAGCCGTGGCTCTGAATCAGCCGTGGTGTCGGAATAAGTGCGTGATTGGCGCTCGGCGAGCGCCTCGAGGTGCTCGAGTTCGCGTATCGTAAGCTGCTCACGAATAATAGAGTCACGCGAGTATTTGCGGCGCCCCTCCCGGGGCTGTGCGTGTGTCTTGCTCGCGGCGTCTGTCTCGTCTTCAGGCTTGTACTGCTGTCGAAGCATGCTTGATCGACGGGTGAGCGATGTTGATCGCGACATGCGCGAGTTCCGCCGGCTGTCGCGCACGTCGCCAGCATGGCTGACGTTGCGCTCAGCCTGCTCCTGCAGGAACTGGCGGAAGTCTGCTGGCGAAACCTCTGGGTGCACCTCAGCCGGCACCCAAAAGAGATGGTGCGGGTCTGTCGGCGCGTCCGCCTGCTTTTTCTGCGTGTCGGTGTCTGCGGAGCGCGCGGCACGCCGTGCAAGGTACCGCTCGCGCTGCGATGAACCAAACAGCGGCTGCGTGTCCCGAGTCAATCGTGGATCACTATCGCCTTGAGACTGAGAACTTGATGGGGCGGCCTGCGTCATCATCTGGTGTACGTCAAGCCCAAGCTCGGGCAGGTCAACATCCAGCAGCACACGGCTTGCGGACAGCCGCCGCGCGTGCCGCAGTGCCTCGACCTCGCGCTGCAGCTCGAGCTCGGACACCTGGTTTCCGTGCATGGCGCCTGTCACTCGCTTTGACTTGCGGTTTTTGCTCGTAGCGCAGACGCGCCAGATTGCATACCCCTGCAGCAAAATGCAGGCACTTTTACTAAACTACCTACGCTGACGGACGATTAGCAAACCTTGATTTGTAGGGTCAGAGTCGACAACCAGGCCCTGCTGCTGCGAGAGCATCTTGGCCACAGCGGGACGGATGACCGACGTCTGATGCTTGCTGTGTGAGCCGCGGCCCGTGATAATGGCCAGGGGCGCCCTGCGCTCCCGCTCAGGTGGGATGGGCGCAGAGACCCACCGCTGGATGCCCTGCCGCACGACTGTCATGGCTTCATGCACGCTCAGACTGTGCAGATCAATGAACGTCTCGGCCGCGGCTGTATCGAGATGCTCACGCGCAGCAGCGTCAGCCGCCCGCTGCTGCCATTTGCGCGCCTTGTCGTGCAGCCGGCGGGCCTCGTCAGCATATACAGTGGCTGCCCCAGACGCAACTGTGCCGCGGTGCGTGCGTGCTGCGGCGGCAGCGGAGCGCAGTAGCTCGTTGCGGCGCGCAGTGTACTGTGCCGCGCGCAGACGGCACTCGTGTAGTGAAAGAAACTCGTCTTCGTCCTCGGCGAGGGCGACCTGCCCTGCCCACGCAGGCAGGACTGTCGCCATAGCACCCGACTTGAGCGCCGACACAGCAGCAGACTTTGGTGGTGGCACCGCGACGGTGGTCGCTGTGTCGGGTATACTCGTCGATGCTGCTGCTGCCGCCGTTGGAGCGGATGTTGGAGCCGTCATTATCTTGCCGAGTGGATCGAGCGCGTCGGGACGCCGAGCAGTTGCGCTCTCAGACACAGTGTCGCACAGCTGCAGCAGGTCGAGTGCCGCATCCTGCGAGCCATGCACGGCAGCGAGTACCGGACGCACCTCCATCGCGTCTTTCTCAGTAATCAGACTGAGCATCTCGCACACTGCCTCGAACTCGGGCGCTGCCTCGGCCGCGACGCCTTCGGGCAATGTGCGCGCTGCCTCGATCGCGCGCGCAAACGTAATGTGCAAGTTGAACGACGCCTTGTTGAAGATGGTTTGGATCTGCATGTGCGACATGCCGAGCAGACTCGCCAGCTGCGCCATTGTCGACGACGCCAGCAGCCACTGCTGGTCGGCGACCGCCGGCTCGTCGGCTTCGACTGCGGCTTTCTCCTCGTCCTGCAGTTGCTGGGCGAGCTCTGCATCTGTCCGTGGAGCATCCTTGCGCTGCGTGCGGCTCGGCTGGCGAGACTGCTGCGATGTGAGGCTCACTGTGACTGGCTTGGCCTTTTTGCCTTTTGGCCTGCGCTGCTGCCGCCCACCTGCTCGAAGGCCGTGCTCCAGTGCAGCGATATCGAGGCCCTGCCTGGGTGCAGGATCCGGCGGATCTGCGCCCGCACCCTCAGTCACCTCGGCATCCAGAAAGTCACGCGCCAGAAGCTCGTCAATCGCAGCGTCAACGTCGCCCTTGGCTGCATCCAGGGCCTGCTGCAATGCATCCTGTGTCTTGTTGGGGAAAGTATTAATTAGAAATGCCAGCGAGCTGTTTTCAGGGATTGCCGATGCACACGCCGGTAGGGTTGCATCAACCTGTCGCCAGTCCAATATTATTTGATCCACTAGGGCAGTGTCCGGATTTGCCGTGCCTGTCGCCGACCCTGCTAATTCAGCCAATGCCGACTCGGCATTTTCAAGTGTCTGTCCCTCGTCACAACATATGGCCAGTGCGAGACTCGCATCTAGCGGGGGACAAAAGCGTGCCACGAGCTGCGCAATGTCCTCCTCCTGCATGTATGTGGAGAGTGGAGTGTGGCCATGATGCGGAGTTGCGCTTGATCGAGTCGCGATGATTCTACCTGCACTCTTGGCATCATAATGCGACTCGCGCCGCCCAGCGTGTACTGCGACCAGGGGAGGGAGAGCACCAAGGTCAGAGCACGCAGACTTTGGCACGAGCTCTTCTCGAAACGACAGCCGAACGACTCGCCCCGGAAACGACCTGTCTCCACCGACTCTTTCTGGACCCTGCGGCATAAGCGGCCATGGACGCATCGCGACGCGGCAGTACAGACCGAGACATTAGACGACGACCCATACTATGACTACGGCAGCTACGACTCGGCACAGAGCGAAGAGGAATCGCTGCGTATCAAGTGGAACAGATCGTCGCTGGCGCACGCCGTGGGCGTGGAACTTGTGCCTCCAAGCGAGCAGACACACGCAACATATGCATCCCCGGTGAATCCACGCTACGGGGGCAGGGTCCCCGTGCAGCGCGAAACGCGCCACACAGTAGCATTCCACCTGCCCAGCGGCGTCAGAGACGTGAATGGGCAGTGTGGGGTGCTCCTACATAGTGTAGAGTAGATTTAGTGGCATTCTCCGGAAATCTCGGCAACATCTAGGCAAGATGGCCGAGCGGTCCAAGGCGCTGTGTTCAGGCTCGTATTACGATACCTCGACATCGCAGTCTCTCTGAGGCGTGGGTTCGAATCCCACTCTTGTCATAACTCTTTTGTTTAATTAACTCTCTGCTTAAATCATTCAAAGACGCAAAACGCACATGTTTGCCTTACGTTGGGCAAGATGGCCGAGCGGTCCAAGGCGCTGTGTTCAGGCTCGTATCCACGATACCTCGACATCGCAGTCTTTCTGAGGCGTGGGTTCGAATCCCACTCTTGTCAGTATGATACTTTTTTTTGCTTGTATGTATAATTTTATTTGCCTGCCGCATCTGGTATACCCGTAGCTATCGAGATTGCGCGCCATTTTCAGCTACCCCCCACCCGCCTGCTAATTTAATGGCCCTCTGGCAAAAAAAGGAGGTCAAGGACGAGGCTCCTCGCATGGTCGAGGTGGATGAGAACCACGTCGGCCAAACCAGTGTCATCGACAAGGAGGCCGACGCTGATGTGGTCGCTCACCTCGAGGCGTCCGCTGTCGATCATGTATACCAACGCAAGGTTTTCATCGTGAACAAGATCCTCAACGAAGATATCGGCATGACGGGGTGGCAGTGGGGCCTTCTCTGTGTCTGCGGTGTTGGATGGCTGCTTGACAATGTCTGGCTGCAGTATGTCGCGATGATCCTGCCCCAGATTCTCAACGAGTTCGATATTGAGAACGGCAAAGAGAGCGGATTCATGACCCTCGCCCTATTCGCCGGTCTCACTGTCGGTGCAGCCACCTGGGGTGTGCTTGCTGACATTGTTGGCCGACGTTTCTCGTTCAATATGACTCTGCTTATTGCTGGCGTGTTTGGCGTCGCGCTTGGCGGCGCAACGAGCTTCACGGCTCTTGGTGGTCTGATCGCTGCGCTCGGCTTTGGCCTTGGTGGCAGTCTTCCCGTCGATGGTATGCTGTTCCTCGAGTTCATTCCAGGCAGCTACCAGTACCTGCTTACGCTTCTGTCCGTCTTTTGGCCCATTGGCCAGCTTCTCGTGTCGCTGGTCGGCTGGGCCTTTATTGCCAACTACAGCGTCGAGTGCGAGCCGCCAGCATGCGGTGCTCGCTATGGCTACACCAGTCGTGGCTGGCTCCACGAAAACCAGGGCTGGCGCTACTTGGCCTTCACTATGGGTGCCCTGACGCTCTTTTGCTTCTTTTTGCGATTTGCGGTCCTCCGCATTCCCGAGAGCCCCAAGTTCCTGCTTGCGAAGGGCCGTGATGCCGAGGCTGTGCTCGCTCTGCGCAAGTTTGCCAAGCTCTGTGGCCGCCCGCTCTCTGACGATGTGATTTCCGTGGCCATCCTGCGCTCTGCGGCCGGCCAAGAGAGCCACATGGACGGCGATGAGGATGTGGTGGATGAGCCAGATGGTTTTATCGACGGCATCAAGTATTCGATGAAGACTATTGTGCAGAATGCACGCACGGTCAAGATTGGCGGCTCGCTAAGCCACCTCAAGCCCTTGTTCTCCACATTCTCGCTCGGCTACACTGTGACAGTTATCTGGCTCCTGTGGAGCTTTATCGGCCTTGCATACCCACTGTTCAACGCTTTCCTTCCCACATATCTGCGCACGTCCGAGGACTCTTCTACTTACACCACATACCGCAACTACGTGATCATCTCGGTCTGTGGTATTCCCGGCAGTATTCTTGCTGCTGCGCTCGTTGAAGTTCCGCGCAGTGGTCGCCGCGGTGCCATGGCGATCGGCACGCTGCTTACCGGTGTGTTCCTCTTTGGCATGACCGGTGTGAGCACGTCGGATGGCACACTCGCATTCAGCTGTGTCACAACGTTCACCCAAAACATCATGTATGGTGTTCTGTATTGCTACACGCCCGAGACTTTCCCTGCACCATACCGTGGAACGGGCGACGGTATCGGCTCGAGTCTGAACCGTCTCTTTGGTCTCATGGCCCCTATCATTTACATCTACTCGGGAACGTCGAAAAACGAGGCTAAGATTCCCATTTATATCTCTGCTGCACTTTTCATCGTGAGCGCACTTTTGATGCTTACGCTCCGCGTTGAAACCAGCAAACGCACGGCTCTTTAATAAATATCATATTAGTAGTACATGTATGAATTTTTAATTAACCTTAATTTTAGGCACCACGGTACCTCTGCCGCTCCCAGTCCGCCCAGATGCTCTTGAATACAAGCTGGCCAGGCGCATCCAGGAGACTTTTCAGGGCCGCATCCCGCTCGTGCGAGCTGATCATGCTGCAGAGCGCCATCAGTCCAGGATGCAGTTCGTGACGCAGCGGCTGACTAATGGTTGTCGAGATGCTCGTAACGCACCGCACGTATGCAAGCAGCATATAGATTGCATGCTTGGACATGGCGCCAGCCAGCGTCTGTGCACTGCCATCGAGTCGTCGTCGCTTCTGTGCCACTGCCGCAGCCACAAGCGGTGTGCTCTTCACCGGAAGCTCGCTGAGCAATCGGCCCAGCGACTGTGCATCGCTGGCTTCAAGCGGACGTGCCACGGGGTCCGACCAGCATGGAGTCGACTCGAGCAGCTCGCGGAGCACTGCATCGCCGGCATTGCGGCGCGACACTGACGCAAGCAGAGGGACTAGCGAGCACAGCACTTGGCTTAGATGAGGCAGGTATGCGCTCACGAGATCTTTGCGGAGACGCACCAGCGCACTAAGACTTGCGACAATCGATCCAAACACGGCGCTCGTAGACACGTTTACCTTGGCTCCATCCGGACGGAGAATCACGCCAAAGACGCCGAGGATGCGCGGCACATCAGGAGCGCGCAGCAAAAGAGCCCTGAACGCGCATACGCGCTCGATCGCAACGGCAGCAGGGAGAATAAGCGATGCATCCCGAGTTATCGCACTTGGCAAAAACACCAGCAGCGAGTAAAAGAACTTGCGTGCAGTGCGGCTAGTGCCTCCGGGGCCATGCTGCAACACAAGGCCAAGGGTGTTCAGCAGTGCATGAGCATCCACTGACGTTGTGAGCGCACTGGAAAGCGAGTCGAGCGTAGCAGCATACACCTGCTCGCTCATCCGGCCAACGGCAGCGACAAACACGGGTGCAATATGGGTCTGTACGACCTCGCTCGGAAGTGCGATTTCGGCAACAGTATACGCCGCACAAAGCACGTTTGCGCGCGCGGGGTCCGCACGCTGCAGCGCGTCAATGCAGCAAAACAGCGCAGTGACAAGCTTTGCATCTGGCGCGGCCTCGCTGCACACGCGCTCAAAAATAGACGCTAAAAGCACGATATCGCCTTGGGCACCCCGCTGGAGCTCCGCGGCATACGCGCGCACAATCAGAGAGATTGCCGGCATCGATGCCCAATCACTGCTCTGGAAGCGCTCGAGAACGCTGCTGGACATGATATTGTCTGTTGCGCGCTCTGCAGCCACGGCAACAATAGTGTAGAGAATGCACTCGCCAACTGATCCGTGCGCGAGTGACTCGGCTGCCTCCATTGCCCTGCGGCGTCCATCGCAGTCCAATGTCCACTCGGTGCGCTCCACGAGTGCCAGAGTGGTCCGAACGAGACTGCTCGAGTTCGCAGGCTCCTTGAACGATGCGTTCGTCTGGGCTCCAGCAATGTATGCATCTACGCGCAACGTCGCATGATGGCCGAGCGAGCGGCGCAGAACATCTTGGAGCTTGCTCCATTGATCGACGTCTCCGCCAAAAGCAGCCAGGTACCCGTCGAGCCAGCTGAGCTTGTGGATGAGCGATGCGTCAATGTACTGTGCTGGTACATACGAAAGCATCGCAGCTCCTGCCAAAGCAGTGCCGATGTCGCGCCGGCGCTCGGGTAAAGAAGAGGGATCAATCCACTTGAGCGCATCACCCACGCTTTCGAGTACAGCAGTGCGCCAGTTTGCCATTTCGTGGAACGCAGGATTGCGCAGGAGCTGTCGAGACAGTTCGCCAACTGGCCCGTCGAGTGCAAGGGTATCTTGGAGGATGGTGACCAGGCGTGGGAGCAGGTCGGGATAGTCGTCCAGAATATGCGTCCACCGCGTGGTAAGCAGACGCCAAACAGCGGCTGGCAGGCATGCCTTGTCGATGCCTAGCGTATTGCCATCCCACAAAGTGCTGCTTGCGCTAAAGTGGGACAATGCCGCATTTACTGCCTCGCTGATATCGATTCCATGGTCGAGCGCTGCACGCAGCGACTCAACTACCACTTCTGGCGTGCCCTTCTTTATCACGCTAGCCAGGTTGCTTGGTGGCGTCGCAAGAGTGCGTGGCACAGACTCAAAGTCGACGCCGTGGCGAGGATGGCGCAGTCCGTAGATGAGTCGCAGGCCGGGAGCGAGCATGCCGCGGTCAAGCGCTGCAGATGCCAGCGCCTCGGTTCTGCTGATGGCATTGCTCACGTCGGCGTCAACCAATCCGACGTTGCGGATCGCGAGCAGGAGGAGGAACGACGTGCATGCGAATGCACCAGCATTGTCGAGATGCTTTTCAGCGCCATCCACTGCAGCCTCAAGGAGGGAAGCCGCCTGGGGAACTGGGGTATACACGTAGAGCGCCTCCTCAAGTACCAGTGTACCCTGGTAAAAGAGTGAGCCACGTGCCAGAATGCTTGGGGCACTCGCCCCATGTTTTTGCGCAACCTGTTCACAGACCCCCCGGAGGAACGCAAGGAGAGTCGGCATGCTGCGTGCATGGGAGAAGCGGTCAATGACGCGACGAACAAAGTGCGCGCCATGCTCCGAGTACTCGCATGCAGCTGCGGCCAAGGCGTCTACCAGCTGACCCTGAAACCCATCGGGATAAATATGCCAAAGCGCAATAAGCGACTTGAATGACGCGTCGCGGAAAGTTTGCACGCACGCGAGGGTATCTGTGCGCAACTTTGTCAGCAGCGCGCGCCACTTGTCGTTATCCTCACCCCCTGGCACATATAAGCCATGCGCCTCGATGATCTGTGCGATGCGCATGCGCGCATACGGGGCGCTGCTAGATCCAATAGCCGCAACGACAGGAGCTAGGAATCGATCAAGGAGCATCTGGCGCACCTGAGCGCTTGGAGTGCCTGTCGCCCGCTGCTCGAGGGCCTCCCAGTCCGGCCACGAGACACGGATGCAGATGGCGAGCACAGCTGGGGCGGCATGCACGACGGTATCGTCGTCGGCGTTAGCGACAATGCGGTCAGCAAGTGCTCCGATGCCATCAGCGACAGACATGCCCTGCGAAAACACTGCTCTGGCAAGGACCATGTCGAGCTGATCAAGGAGGAGGGGCGCATCG